GTGCTTTGGCTTTCAGCAACAAAGAAAACAAATCCCTTCCCCTTTTAGAACTAATATCATGTGGAAGGAGAAGGTAACAGCCAAGCGGGGAGGAGACTAAGAAGGCCCAAAAGTGAATAAATAGGATGGTTTTACCATTTGATTCAGTGTAGGAAGGTAAGCACATGGCCATTGTTATATTTGAATTTGTAATTTACTTGCTTAATCACGGGTTACAGCAAGCCTAGAAACACCTCAGGAAAATTCCTGTGCCCATTTTATAGATTAGTTCAAGGAGATAAGTGAAATGTGAATGGCCCAGAGTTGGATAGCTAAATAAGTAGCCAGCTGGGATCTGAGCTCAGCCATTCAATTGCCTTGTTTTCCTGTTAAGAAAGGACTCTTCAAGAAAGGTGATAAAAGTTGGTGAGCACTAGACGCGCGTAGAAGTCAGGCCATCAGAAAGCCTTCCAGACCTCTGCCCCAGCCCAGCAGAACTTTTTAAAGGCAGAAAACATGGATGTACAATTTCATATTTTTGTACTAAATTATCCCATTATGATAAAGCACGTAAGTCTTCAGTACAAGCAGACTATCTCAGAAAAGTTGAGTGCCAGATTTTTTTCTAGACAGGCCTACCTGATGGTAACTAAAGGGCTGTGACAGCTCTCTTTTCAGTAGTCAGATTGAGTGCTAACTGAGAGAACAAAGCTGTGAGAAGATGGAAGCATGGACCTTTTAACTCATGGGTTGGGGTAAGACAATAAGCAGATGCGTTAAACTGTTATGTTCTACTGCAGGAAGGAAGCTTTTTTTGTGTGGGAAATGAGGAAGACTGGGACTAAAGTCATGTTTATATCTAAGAAAAGGCCATCTTAAGACCTAAGTTACAAGAACTTAGCAGAAGCTGGTGAATAAGGAGACATAGGAAGGCTACTGAACAGCAGAAGCACAGAGCCACAAACTAGTTACCGGAAAGTCCTCAGATGACAGTGGGAGATGTTCAGGGAGGCCGCCGGGAGCGCGAGAGCGGGTCTTATGCCTTGCACTGAATGGAGTTGGTTCTTTTCCTCAGAGAATGGTGAGGTAGTAGAGTGAAGTCCACGGTCAGGTCTACATTTTGGATTATTATTACAGAACAGATGAAAGACATACAGAAACTGAGCAGGTGGAAACGAGGATCGTGAGTTCAAGACCAGCCTAGGCAGCTCAGTGAAATCCTGTGTTACAGTACAAAGACCTAGGACGGCAGCTCAGTGGCAGAGAATTTGCTGAGCATGCGTGAGGCCTAAGTTTGTTCCCCATTACAGTGAGATTTGTTTCCACAGTCAGGAGCTCTGGGTTTTTAAGTGGGACTCAGTCCTCCCACTTTCTCTCCTGTCTCTACCATAAGTATTTTGTGAATAAACCTAAAGGAAACCATGGCTTAAAAGGAAGTTGATTTCTTTACTGTAGGACTTTTCAGCTGCTATAGTCTAATATTCATTCTGAATCTTCAGGACAGAATGTTTAATAGTAATTGCAAGTACATGTTTTGAATCCTTGAGGACATTTAAACAGCCACAAAAAGAAGGAAGGAAGATGTTCAGAAAAAAAAAAAAGCTTCAGAAAAAGGTGAGAACAATGGAATAAATATGTTAGAAATCAGGGGATTGGGCTGGGGGGATAGCTGGGGGCCGTAAGCACCTGCCTGGCAAGCACAAGGTCCTGAGTTCGATCCCTGGTACTACATGCTATGCTGGCCCTGGAACCCCAGGTGTGCTGTGCTACCCCAAAACCAGGCATAGTGGTGCATGCCTGTAATCCCAGCACTGGGGAGGCGGAGCCAGGAGGCTCACTATGAGTTTGAGCTGCATAATGAGAACCTGTATCAAAAATAAATAAGTACACAAATCAGGATTAATGCCAGTGTGTCTTTTACTATAATGTGTTTTTAAACATTCACTTTTTAAATATACCTGGTTTATTTATTAGTTTTAAAATCTTGCATGTTTTGCCTAAAATTATTTCACTAATATAGATGTTTTTACTGCCTAATTTGTATAATTTTAGCTCTTCAAATCATTGTTAAGCTTTTCATACCATACTGAAGCAGTTACACTTCAGTGGAATACACTATTTTCATTTGGGTTTGAGATTACAAACTTATTCCTTTACTGAGAAATTACTTTGTTTATCAGAACCTGTGCAGTGTGTATCCAGTCAGGACTGTTTATTGTGAACACAGTGTCAGGTACGATAATTACAGTCACAACTTGTCATTCTGCCTTAAATCTCCATGACTGCTACTGGTCAAGTTACTCTTGCTTATCTATCCAGTCCTATAGTAATTTCTAGTGGACATTTACAAAATAATCCCTTAATCATAAAATAGTAACACTTAAAATTTTCACAGTAGCAGCAAGATAGATGAGAGATTTGCTAAAGCAATTCAGATTATGCACATATGCTAGAATTTATGACATAACATGATTTAACACATTCCTTTATTTTTGTAGAATGCCAAGTAACTAAAGAAGTGTTAAAACTAAAATAATCATCTAATAGCAGAGTTGGAAAACTGAAAAATGAGCAGTGTGGCATTTCTAGAGGATAAAGAGCAGATTACTGAAGGGCCAGTTCAATAGTATAACATTTGAGCTAATCCACTTATTCTTAGAGTGTCCAATTCTGGAGTTTGCCAGGATGAAGGAAGCAGGTAGCTGAACTATGGGTTCTGCTGCAGGCCTTGGGGAATATTGAATAAGGACATTATCCCAGATGGCTATAAGGAGGAACTAAAGTTAATAAAGCCATCTCTCAGGCTATGGTGACCTCCCTTCCCCTTTATAGTCACCAGAAGTACCTGAGATCAAAATTTATATTCACTGAAAGTAAAATAGGATTTTCATTTGGCTGAGGAAATCACTTCAAAATTGAATTTTGGGGCCCTTACCTTTAATTATTGACAACAGAAATCATCAAATGTGAAGAAAACCAATATAAAAGGGGAGAATCTTACAACAAAAGTAATTAGAATATAGTTAGTGCTCATATTTGAGCACTTAGTGAAACAACACAATACCAGATTGGTATTGGATTTTGTCAGCAATTAGATTATTTACAAGAAATCTTCATCTCAGAATTACTAAACCAACAGA